GAAAAGCTTTTGTCTGTTCCGTTATCCAACATCTTTGATTGTTGTTTGTTTTGCTGCATGGCTCACACAAATGTAGAATTTCTTGTTTTTACTTGTTTACTTATTTCCAGGATTGATCTTATGTAGGGCTCACATGTTTCTTCCATAGTGGAAAGATTAAATGCCACCAACCCAGATACAATTCCTCCAGTTTCTGCCTTGAAGCAATTGGCTATAGCTGTGGAGTAAGTTGCTGGATATTTTTTTATTCTTTGACCTAAATATTCCCTTTTCTTTTAGTTCTCAGATCATTTTATTAAACTCGGCAAATCTTGAGGCTGTGTCCTGATGAGATTATTCTGTAATTGAGTGTGATTTTTCTCCATGCACACAGAGTTCTTAATTGTTTTCTGGGAATCTTTTTCAGTTCTGGAAAAAAGTTTAAGTCAGTGAAAGACATTTTGGCATCATCTGGAGCTTCCTCACCAATAATGGAGAGGGCAAGCTTAAGCCTTGCTGCAGTTAAGTCATTAGTGCTTCGAGACAAGGAGGGTAAACTTACATCTGAGTTTGGTAATGATGAGAAGCTGGTATCCTTGATAAAATCATTGTTTGATGCAGGTAGATTCATGATTAGATGACCTTCAGACTGCTTTTCATACCGTTTTTCTTTACTCTTTGATACATTGCATTATTGTTTTACATATAAAAATTTGTTATTTTGATGCATTATCTTGTGATGATCTTTCACTTCCGTTGTAATATTTGCAAGATATTCGCAGAGGGAAACTTTCTCAGCCGGAACATGAGCCTGGTTTTGGAACCACCATTATTGCCCAGAGATATTCATGGTGCTCCACCTGAGGGCTTTCTTACTAAACTATCTGAAGTAATTGGAAGTTTTACAACCCTGCGAAAAATGGCATTGTTCTGGTGCAAAATTGTTACTGAGGTAAGTGGACTGCTAGAAATTCTATCTGGTGATCTAACACATGGGAAAGACTACATAAGCTTTACAAACCTCAAATAATAACTGTTAAAATCTAGCACCACTACAAGAACAATTTCCATTGTTCTCTTCACTGCAAAGCAATACACGATAACTAGTTTTCCTTTTGGTCCAAACCATGAAATTGTTCAGATACGATCTTTCACATGCTTTGGAATTTTGAGCATTAGCATCACTTCACCAGTTTCTTTATCTGGCAAAGCATGTTCACCATTTTCAGATAAGAAGACTTTGGTCTGAAGAGCTGTATATACCTGGCATCCCTCTAGATGAGATTCCAGATTTAAATTCCTGTCGTTTGTACCAGCAACTTCAGGTTGTGAATTCTTGTATTTCTAGAAAAAAGTGGCGCACTCTGGCCACTCAATCAATAGAATCAGTAATGAGGCATGCTGGTTCATGTCCTGAAGAATCGGCTGATCTCCAGGGCATAGTCACCTCACACCATATCTTATATGCTAGAATAAGCACTGGAGAACTTGTTCTTCGATTGGGAGCTGATAGACCTGCTGATAATTTAACCATGTTGGAAACCGGAGAACCTGTATACTCACCGATCACCCAGGTTTGGTTGGTTATTCTCAGTAGTTCTTAACCATGTACTTATATGACTTTCTTGTTTAAATCCATTTTCATCCATATATACAGGAAGGACCTTTGCTTACTGAAGATCTTATCAAAGAAACAGAAGAGTTCGTGCTGCGAACTGGAAGGTTAGTGTGTTGAGTAATTCCTGTTGTAGAAGTTAGGTGCTAAGCAGAACAGTAAAAACCATCCAAAACAGGGAAGGGTGCTGACCACACTGAGATAAGGAAGGGCAGGTTGTCGTCCTTGGATCTGCAATCAAATAAATTGCTGCTACGTTTAGGAACATTAGTCTCGTTGTATGAGCTAGACCAGCTGAACAAAGTATAAAAGATCTGCTAGTCAATAAAGTTTTTAAGCCATTGTTCTCTTTGATGTTTATTATAGTTTTTAAGCCATTGTTCTCTTTGATGTTTTTGTTATAGGATTCCTCTGTGCCTCTTAAACAATGTGTTGGATTTGGGCTTCTTTTGCATTCTCTAAGCATCACGAATGGATATGAAATATTAACCATTTAAATTTATGGTTATGTTTGGTAAATGTAGTATGATGCCTGCAATTGACAACAAATTAAATAGTTTTTATACAAAATACTTATCTTTATCCAAGTTTGGTTCTGTCAAAAAGCACAATATGTTGATCTCAGGCCCATGCACGCCTTTAGCTTTCTGCATTTGAAACTTGTGATGTTTAGGAAAGCAATTAAGCTTTGGGATTTCTTTGATGAATTGTGTTATTTCCAATGGTCAGTGTTGGCGCTGGGTGTTCTCAACTCCTCTCTGACATGCAGGCCTTCAAGGTAGATTCTTCAAACAAAGTATATCTTATGTCAGGAAGTTTATGAAAGTAATTGACATTCTATATGTGCGCTAGGCTGCAAATCCTGGTTGTATCTTAGAAGATTTTGTCAGATGGCACTCTCCCCCTGACTGGACAGAAGGTGAGCCAAGTGATGAGGCTCAAGAGTATGTTGATCAAGTTGATTCATCTTCTACAAGAGGTCAACTAAGCAGTCGAATGCAAAAGGAAGGTTTACCCTTTACCCTGGTGACCTCAACTACAATATAGAACTGTTAATTTAGCAAAGCAATAAGCAGATTAATTCTTAAAGATATTACTGCTAGCTATTGGTTGTTTCTATGTAAGATGTATTTTACCTGAATTGTGTATTCATCTGGATTTTCTTGTCTATTGAATCACAAATTATTGCATTCTTTTTTCTCCTAGTGTCCATGATCAAATCAATTAGTTACGTGACCATGTCATAAACTTCACTAAGCAGGTTGAAGTTGAGTGTGCTGCTACTGATTTGAACTTTTATCTGATTTCTCTTGTAATTGAATATGCAACAATGCTAGGTAACTTGTGGCGTGAACTGTGGGAAACAGCCAAACCTGTACCAGCTGTTAAACAGGCTCCCCTCTTTGATGTGGATTTGGCTGTGTAAGTTTGAATCTTTATACAGATGCTAGTTCTGATTAGTGCTTACACTTGACTTTACAAGGCAGTGTGTTGCTTTAATTCTTCAGGGAGGGTATTCTGAATGACTTAGAAGACATCCCACCTGTTGAGCTTTTTGAACAGCTGTTTATTTCTTTGGTAAGATATCTTGAACAGCTCATGTTGCTTATCAATAAGTTATTCCCATCCAGCATTGTTCATTTGCTACACTGCTATATAAAACCTAGGATTTTTGCCTTTTGATAGCCAGGTCTGTCTGACCCAAAGAAGAAAGATAGCTAGGTCTCGTCAAGCTACATGTTTTTGATAATTAACATTATAAGCTTTCACTAGCTTTCCTGTGGTGCTTGGCGTTTGTCTTTCCTGAATTGCCTTTTGATACCATACTATATCATGAGAAACATTTTTGATCCTGCAATTTGACGTTTGCATATGACAAAGTTTACATTGCTCTTTGCAACTAAAAAGGAAAAACTAAAACCAGAAGGAAAAAATTCCAATTCTTCTGCTTCATCGGTACAGTCTGCAGCTGCATTGTTAACTTGTTATTTACATGTTGTTAACTTCAAATCGTACCTCTTTTATGGTGTGCTAATAATGTCAGATGTTCTGAAAATTTCAGCTTGGTTTGGGATTTGTAATGGCCGAGGCTAAACTCTCCTGTAACAATGATTTGTTGAAGATATTCTTGGAATGCAAAGACTATGTTGTTGTCACTTGTCAAGGAAAAATCTGGAGTGATAAAATGGATGATCTCTGCCAGGTAGGTTATACCAAGACCATATCAGATAATTATAAGCATTTGTAGCATTTATCGATTCCTTCATTTCAAAATGGCGTTTATACTGTTACTTGAAGTACCTAACTTTGTTGCTTGTACGCAAAAATACCCTATGCATAACTATGTAACCTATAGTTTTCCATCTCTTTCTCTCTTTCACTATTCAGAACAGTCATTTTTTAAAATTCGAAACATGTTTTTGTCATGCTCTATTGTAATGAGAAATTATGGCTGGCATTATCATTCAAAAACAACCCCTTATGGAGTGGTTGGACTTTCAACTATAAAGGGTGCATTTTTAGAGTTCTCAGAGCAACCACTTCATGCAAAAATGCTCAAGGGTAGAACTATTTCGAAATTTTCTTGCACTCTAGTTTTCATGACTTAGTTTTTCTTTTTAAGATTACTTTAATGCGACATTTTTTTGATGTAGTAGGTGTACGAAACAGTAGAGACAATGTTATTGAACCCAGAGGAAGTCCTAAAGGCAGCAAGGCAGATGGAAGAAACCAATACTGTGGGTGAACCAAGACGTAGGTTGAAGATGCTTGGCCTGAGCTTTGGAAGCAAGGAAAGAAACTCGAGAAACCCATCAAAAGATGAGAAGAACTCAGAGGAAAATTCATGTCGCCAACCATTCTCTAGCTTCTTTGATGGCAAGTCTTCTTTATTCTTAAGAAAGCCTCCGAGGCCTGAGAGCGTGTCCTTCGGCGACAAAGCTGCATACCAAGATGAAAGCGAAAATGATTGGACAATTGTTTAATCAACAGTCTCCTTCCACCGAACCCAGCCCACTTATTTCTCGTATTGAGCTTTGAAGAAGAAACTGTAAATTATCCCCCCCCCCCCCCCCCCAAAAAAAAAAAAAAAAAAAGAGCGCTCATGTGATTCCAGAAGAAAGAAGAAATGAAATAGGTTTTTGATCCAAATGAAATTTCAAGCAATTGTCGATGATGTACTGCATTGAATGTTGGTTGAAAACTCTTCCTCTTTATCATGATTGTCTCATTTCAATGTGCGTTGTTGAATACTGACCCGTAATTTACCTCTCTGTTTTCGAGTCAAGATGCTAATAATGATACTAGCAGAGTAATGGACAATACAAAATAGAGTACGGCAACACTGGACACTTAAAAGCCACGGCCTGCAGGGCTCCGGTTCTCTGCCTTTTGCTTACGGTTCTCTGCCTTTTGCTTACGCTGTCGTGGCCGTGCTCCAATCTTCATCTGAGGGATTATCGTCATAAGGCCTTGTGTCCTCGCTTGTCCTGTTAAATTCATCGTAGTGCATGGAGATGAAAGCGGGGGCACGAATACACTCAAACAGAAGTAAAGCGCTGTGATCCGAGATTTTTGTCAAAAGGTGAGTGATCCTATAATATATATACTTTATTGAATCAAACTTGCAATGTAACCCTGTTTGAAGGACAAATGATCATCGCCAGGTCTAGCTCGAGAAGATGAGGAATTTCGTGATGGCCCTTGTCCTTGTTTTCATTCTTAGGCTACGCATAGCGATCCCAGTAGGCTCTTTGCAAGAGGATCAAAGTAATTTCTCTGCCTTCCATTGAGGTTTGAGAGCAAGGGATTATTGCCTTTCTTGTCTCTACGCAATAATCATTAAGAAAAACATACCTGAATTCATTATTGAATCAAACTGGAGAGTGAGATTGGGTGCAGTTCATGGCTATACAGCCGGTATCCAAATTAGTGTGTAGCTGAATGGTCTTTTGCTTCAGTTTCTAAGCAATTGACGTCTGTTAAGACAAGAACAGGATTGTTTGATGCCAGGCTGGCAACGGCAAGCTGAGTGCCTCTATATTTCAGGGCCTGGCCCGTCTTGAATTTCTGGGCCAAGCCGTTGCTCAACCTTTATGGACTCAGAGAAGGGCAACTTCATATCTTTCTCAGAAGTTTCAATTTCACCTTACTAATGAAAAACTCACTTTTTGATTTTGATATTTTCTTTTATCTTTCTATTTTACTTAAATCCCAATATATTCTATCCCATGAGACCAAAACACTTAAAATTCTAAAAAAAAAAAAACTATATATAATAATTAGGGTTGACATAGAACTTCTTAAAACAACATGGGTACTATTGAAAAATGTTGAGTTACAGGAGTTGAATGACAATATTTATGAATCTAGGAGGGTTACCGCTCTTAACAAAGACTTAAACGTGTGTAGTGTTTTATTGTAGAGAAATACATGAAATAACGTGGATTGAAATATTATAATGATGATTTTGACAATCCCAAACAAAATCATCAGATTGGTTATTATTAAATTTTTTTTAATGGTAAAATAATTTTTATTAAATTGAATGGACAACTTAATCTTATCACATTTTAAAAATATAATGAAAAGATAAAATAAAAATTTATTTGACCACAACTGTGTTTTTCTTTTTAATTTTCAATTTATAAAGCACAATAAAATAATTAAATTACTTTCAAAAGCAAAAACAAAAATAACTAACATTCGTGGGCTTTTTTGTATTTTCACCCTAATTATTTTAATTATAATTAAATTAACTAATAGATAATTTAGTATTTTAATAAATATATAATATTATTTAAAAATAAATTATGGTTGATATGTACAACACACACGAAAGCGAGTGGGAACCTCATACTCTTCATTAGATGCCTAAGGCATCTTTTAGCAATGAAACACCATTTTCTATGATGGTGATGGAAGAAATATCCTAACATGTTCTTCTTGGAGGTCAGACACATATATAAGGTGACACAGTCGTCGGACTACGATAAACCATTTTACTTTTTTTCATTTTCTCTTTCCTTGCCTTGGGTTTTGTGTTTATCCTTTTAAAAAATAAATGTGTCCTATTAGTTTATATTTGTATCAATTCTAATAATCATTATTATTATTATTATTTGTTTCACTTTTAATGTATTTTTAAGTTTTTTTTTTGTTTTTTAATTTTATCCTCCAAGATTTGATTTCATTTATTTTTGTATCAAATTTGGTCATTGTTCTTTTAATTACTTTTTTATATTATTTTCTTGATGTATTTTATTTTTCAATTATATCTCTCGTTGTTTTATTTCATTTAATTTTATACCAAATTTGATCCTTATTATTTTGATTGTTATTTGTTTTTGTTTTTGTTTTTGTTTTTTATCATTTTCTTCATTTATTTTATTTTTTAATTTTATCCCTCATTATTTTATTTCATTTAATTTTTATACTAGAATCAATCTTCATTTTCTTGATTACTATTTATTTTGTTTTTAAATTTTGGATGATTGAGAATTTTATTTCATGATTTTTTCATGTTTTTCTTTTATTGGATAATCTTAATCTCATGACCCGAGTCACAAGTTTTTATAAATAGCATAATTTGACTTTAATCTTTTTAGGTCTTATTTTATTTTATTTTTATTATTTAATCCTTCAACATTTGGTTATTGAACTTTAGCATTCATGGTTATATATATATATATATATCTCGTTCACGTATCATAGATTCTGAGTTAGTTAAGTTAATTTAGGTTAAATTATTTTTATGATTCTTTTTAATTATGTTTTTTTTTCAGTTTCACTTTCATCATTTAGTTTGACTGAGAGTTGATTTTCATTATTTCATTCAATTTTTTTTGTACGAGATTATCATGGTCCGTCATGAATTTGACATGTTAACTTGAGTCGAGTTTTTTTATCTTTTTTTTTAATTGGTTGTTATTTTTTCAGTTTGTCCTTCAGCATTTGATTTTCTAGTAATTAAGCTTTAAAGTTTTTTAATATTTTTTTATGAAGTTATCCTATTTCTCACTTAATTTTTATTTTGTTATCAAATAACATCATTGGAATCTTTTCAGAATATTTAAAGAGTGTTTTTTTATAATATTAGTAAGCATTTATTTATTTTTTATTAGTCATTGTTATTTTTTTGTTTTTATTATCATTAGCTTTTTTTAATAATTATATTATTAAATTAATTAATTTTATTGTACCCATTTGAATTAAAGGCTTCTTTCCTAAATTTTTCCTTATCCTTTAAAAATACTATCATTACTTATAGCATTCATTTTTTATATTAAAATTTATTTAACCCGGCATGTAGCAACAGGCCACCTATTTAATAAAAGCTAAAAGTTAACCGTCAAGATTCCCGTTGTAGTTTGCCGAATGTTCAGCTTCGTGTTACCTTGCATATTTTACTTTGTTGCAATTTAAACCCTCTCATTCGAATCGCCACCTCGAGTTTAGAGAACTTTAAGGTCTGTTAATAAATAAAGTAATTTTTTAATTAAAAAATTGAAAAAAAAAAGATTTACTGTTCAAATGTAATATTTCTCCATTTAAAAAAATGAAAAATTAGTTTTCCGAATTTATATTGAGTTTGAAAAACAAATTTCAGAGGCTTATAATTTTAGAAAACACTCTTTAAAGGTTTTTCACAGTTTTCCTGCAAGTTTTCGTTGTTTTTCAAATGAAAAAATACATGAACAATTTAATTTTTTTATTTGATATAAAAAACATTTTTAGCAATGAAAAATATTAAATTTTTTAATATATATTTTCATATTTAGTTAGTGTTATAGACTTAATTTTTATTATAAATATAATATAAAAATATCTTTTGATTTAACAATAAATTTTTTTTCATGATAATTTTTAATTTAAATGAAATAAAATTAATATTCTATGATTGGATTATTAGAAATACAAAATATGACTATTATAAATTATAGTTCTGAATTTTTATGCAAAACAACTATAATCTTTAATCTTGATGTATTTCTTTTTCTTTCTTTTTTTTTTTGTTAGAAAGTTGGTTTTTGTTTTTCAACAACTGAACATGTTCTTCAATTCTTTTTTGGAAAGAAAAACTAGAAATTAAAACTGAAAATGGAAATAATTTTTTTTGTTACTAAACATGTTTTTTTCTTTTACAGTTCAATTTTAATTCAAAAATATATGGTGATTATATAAAAGTATTATAATATTGGAAGACTTGTTGTGGCAAATTAAGAATATGTTTGTTTCTTAAAAAGTAATTTATGAAAAATAACTTTTTAAATTTTTTTATGTTTATTTTAATTTCATCCTTTAGAATTTAATTTTTATATTAATTTTGGTCCTTATTTTTATAATTTTATTTGCTTTTTCCTTATCATTTTTTAATTGAAATTTTTTATCTATCAAATTTGGTCCTTCTTCTTTTTATTGTTACTTATTTTATTTGAAATAATTTATGAAATGTTAATTATTATTATTTTAATTTCTTCATCTTTCATTTTTTTTATTTTTTAGATTTGATCTCTATTATTTTGATTGTTATTTTTTTATTTGAGATAATTTATGAAATTATATTTTTTTTAATTAAATTATTAAATTATTGTTTTTCAATTTTATTCTCATTCAACCTTTTAATTTGTAAAATTTATTCCTAATTATTTTAATAAATTTTTTAAAAATAAAACATTGATAAGTTATTTTCTATAAAAATAAAAAAAA